TGAGTTTGAGTCTTTATTATAAAGACTCAAACTCAATGCAGATCCAGACATTTGAATTGAGAAAGCTTCCTGGAGGGGAAGCGGAACGTGTTCAAAACTTGGAAACCAAGTCCAGTGGATTGTTTTTTAACTTTTACGGAATGACTATGACCTGAATGACTGAGAATCTTCATCAGCATACAGACACCTTTTTAATATAGGAAATAGAGCTCTTATGGATAAAAGCTTAAAGCCTTTATTCACAAAACATTCCCAACTTATCCGTCTAAAATCCTTATGCAAATTCCCCTTACCAACCTGTGACTTATGAGCAGATGAATTAGCCGTGTGTATCATCAAGACTCGGCTAATAAGTTACAGCTTGAAAGAAAGTGAATGTGACTCTTACCTATATTATCATAATTAAAACCAGAAATTTCTCACTCTTGAAAATGTAGACCGAAGCGTCAAAGTGTTGGATTATATTTGAATATAGGTATGTTAAGTCAGATTGCTGAATAAAAACATACTACACTTTTCTCTTTTTAAAGGAGAGATTTCTAAAATGGTTGAAGTGGAAAAAAAATCCAGTCATGGTTTAAAACCTAACAAAGTGCTGTCCATTAATCTTCACTAAGTGTCCCCTTTTTAAAAACCGTGGAAGTCAAGCTATGTTAAATAAAAGCAATCGGTTCACGTTACGCTCTTTTTTGAGTATGTGCTGTTAAAGGAAAAGTCCGGTCAGATAGGAATAATCAATGGATCATTGTCTATACATAAAACAAATACATCGGCGGTGATTTAATGAATTTAGCATTATATAGTAAAAAAATGAAAACAATAATTTTTGTAGTGATCACTGAGTCAGGGAGCGGCCATTTTTGCCCAAATATAGTAACACCTCACTCCTGACACCTTCATGCAGTGACGTCACGGTGCGGTAAGCATAGCGCCATTCTCCCCGCTTTACAAGGAAAATTAATGGGAGCTATGAGACACGCCTGGAATCAACAACAATTATTTAAGATTTTCAGAGGACTTCACCATTGAGCTATAATTAAACTGACAATGCCTGTGCGCATGGCAGTTGGATGTTGGAATACATCGGGTAAAAGTGAAAAACATTTTTTTATTTCCCTTTTCTGATTCATGATCTTCCACGGACGGGTTCGTGGTTGGATTGCTAACTTAAAAAGGGAGGATTTGCTATCAAACTTCTGGCCAGAGAAAAAACAAAATAATATGTGTTAAGAAGAATGTTTTTAAGATGACTTGGATAATAGCGTGTTGTGAAAAACACCAGATAGAGCACTGGGACCTGATCAACAGCCGATACTGCAGCGTGACGTAGTATTTTTTCACAAACATGGAAGTAAAGCACATTAAAATGAAATTACTCCTAATTAAAACACTTATCGTTTATTGAACAGTATGTAATTATTTCATATTCAAAGTGCTTTCAGAAGTTTGAATTCTAAATATGCACAAACTTTTCCTTTAAGCTTTAAAAACAGCGAAATGATAACTATACTCATAAGCATCTCCATAAACAGTTTGAATGACCCGAATGGAAAATTTGTGAAACTAAAAGGAACCCATTAAAAGACTAGTGCCTCCATATAATTTTCTAAAGACAATTTTCTGGCGAATTTGTCTCAGTATCACAATTCAAATGTTTGTACTCCTCCTAAAGCAATAGTCAATTTAAAACGTCAAACACATATTTCCAAACTGCAGAAGCTGCTGAGTATAAAGCAACTGCTTCCATTTGTTATATTGAGTCAATATTTTCCAATCGGTCTGTTAAATAAAACATGACCCGTAGTATAACTTTTGATTGTAAAATGTTTATTCCTTCTGTTTGTTAAGGAGAAAAAGGTAAAAACAAACCAATCTGAAATTAAAACCCAAACTAACACTTTTGATTAAGGCCAATGCTGGTTCAGATAGAGAATGTTTCTGATGTAACATCCCGCTGTTTTCCATAGAACCTGTATTACTCATAGAATCATTTGGTTTAAGATATAATTCTACACCACTTCTCTTTCTAAACAAATATTTGTCTAAAAATTCTCTGTTCTTTTAATGGTCCCTCTGTGCCTCTTTTATGCACAACTTCCTGTCTCTCTTCTGATGTACTTTAAATACTGATCTGAAAATAGCACAGAGGCATAAGAATAAAAGAATCGTCCTAAAAATAGAAAGACGTTTGTAATGCAGGTCGGAATGTGAAGCCTTAAAAAGCAACTTCAAAAAGTGTTATACACACTTTTTGGATTATTAATTTTTGTAAAGTGATTTTTAGTCAAGTCATTTAAAATTTTTGTTTTTGTCTAGATTTTCCTTTTGATTTAAATTTAAAGATTCTCTATGAAATTATTTCAAATAGCCATTTTTGATTTTCTAATGATGAAGGCGGACTGTTGTTCTTTGCTTGGGATAATAGGTTCATCCATTCAAACAGCAGATGTGTTCGACATCATACCTTATCCCTGATTCCTTGCCTCATATCTTCCCTCTCAGCCTCCATCTTGGCATATTTGGCCTTCCTTTCCTCCTCCTGCTGCCTCAGTGCCTCCTGTCGCTCCTCCTCTTTCTTTGCTGCATCAGGATCCTCCTCCTTCTCCTCCCCGCCCAGCATCTTGCCGACATCAGGGGGGCCTCCTGGGACGGACAAAGACAGGAATATAAAAGAAAGACATCTGATTTAGTGACGGCTCCAGCTGGTCTCTCAGACTGAGGTGTTGAAAAAAAATCAACTGTCCGATGAAGTGAGAAAAACTAAATTAGTCAGACCTGTGAAGAAACTGAGAAAATTGCAAATTAATTCCAGGTAAAGATTTTATAGAAGTGATGAAATCTGCACAAGCTGTTCTGATTGACCAAGCATTCAGTCATACCCAAATAGAAAGTTTATGAGCATGTTTTGGCTTTCTGATATGTTATCTTGCAGCAAATTTCCCTCAGAAGATGGGGGAGACTAAAGGGTTTCTGAGGTAACTGGGGGTGGTTGAGCATGAGAAGCTTGGGCTTGCTTTTTCCTTGAAGATTTGCAGAAATGCAAGGGAGTTTGATTGATTTGGTTGTCTATTGAGGTTTTATAAGGGGTCCTGCAGGAATTGGGGGTTTCTAGTTTGCTTTTTATGAAATAGAAAGTTTTTGAATACACAAAGCAAGAGCGATGCCTCCTACAGCTACAGGGGTATAAAGTTGAGCTTCTTCTCTGTGTGCTTTGGACTCTGCTAGGCCCACCCCTTATTTTGGAGGAAAATTTAACAAGGGCATTACCTATTTTAGGAGCCTGATCATTGAGTTTATCTTTCTGTCATTATTAACAGCTGGATAAAGTGTCATGTCATTAGCCCTGGTTGCTATTCTGATTACTCACTTCATTCACCTGCCGTTCCCTCCCAGCTCTCTAATTATCACTGATCTTATTCACCTGCTCCCTCTGCTATATATACATGGTTCAACCCAGCTATTAGGGCCAGATCATTATTCATGTATTCTTAGTTTATTTGTGTTATGTTTTCGTGTCAGTTATTCATGTTTGTTTGATGAGTTTAAGTTAAGTCCCTGGTTTATGTTGGCCAGTAGATTGAGAGGGTTTACTGTTTGTCTCCTGTCTTCTGATCGTGTCCTGGCTCTTCTCCGTGGAGCCCTCAAAGTTTTGGCTCAGAACGCAGGGGAGGTCAGTTTTAGTCCCGTAAGCCTTGCTCCAAGGTGGAGACCAGTTTAAAGTTTCTGAAACTATCCTGGTACCAAGTCTTGTCTCTGTTCCTCTCAACCATTGAGCCCGTCTGTCAGCATGTGAATGTGTCTGTCTGAGCTTGCTGCTGGACCTATGGAACTCTGAACCTGCCTTCATGCACTGAAGATTCCTGGAACCCTGGATCTGTCTGTTCCTGTGTGGATCGGAACCCCTGGTTGAGCTACGGACTTCTGGATTCCAGAACAGTTCCTGTCTGATCCATACCCCTGAACTGGATCGGATTCCTGCCTGCTTCCTGGGGATGCCGACACTATGGGCGGCTCTGTTCGCCGCAGCTCATTTGGCAGCCCATCTGCTGGATTATGCCTTCCTCAGAGAGGATGGACTGAACTATTAAACCAGGTAAGTGACTCACTTGGATAATCATCTCCTGTAAGATCATCGTGGTCACTTACCTGTGTTTGTAAGTAATTGGGCGGTACCCCGTCCCCCTCCTGCAGCCGTTGCGGTTCGCTTATTCTTTGCATCCCCTGTCCAGTTCTTTTCTGTTGTATTATTTTCTATCATTAAATGATTTTAAACTTCCCACTGTCTGACTTGCCTTGAAGACTGGATCCATCTGTCCCGCTTTTTGACATAAACATGTGCCTCCTTCAAGTTTGAGGTTCTTAAATGGAAAAGGCTGCAGTCAGTCTTTTTCCTCAAGCGGAGGTCAAATAAGACTCAAAAGAGATGCCATGATAGAACAGGAGCTGGGCCTTTTATACACGTATTGTCATGGGCGGTGTTTGTATGGAGGACCCAAACGCAGAGACCAGTAGGCAGAGGTGAATTAAAGTGGTTTTATTAAAGTTCACA